AAGGAAGGAAGGAAGGAAGGAAGGAAGGAAGGAAGGAAGGAAGGAAGGAAGGAAAAGAAACAGAAGAAGCAAGGAAGGGTTTCCAGAAATGTTCTGTAAATTTCTAGCTCTCAGCAGAATTAAGCATTTAGAAGAGAGAGATGGTTATGGAAGCCAGTAGTCCACACCAAGAGCAGTCCTGTCCAAACCAGGTTTAAAGATCGCCAGCAGGGAAAGAAACAGGCCTTGCATTTGGCCTTCAGCACTTGCCAATCTGGACAGCAGTTGCCTGGTCAATATAATTCCCTCTAGGCTGAAACAATCTGTATTCCTGTTTCAGTGCTAAGCATAATTTCTAAATATGCATGAATTCTGGGGCACAACTCCCAAAGCCTGGCCTACTGTCCCTACTACCCTTGGAAAAGCTGTGACTGAATTCTGAGTTTTAATCCTGATTTTTAAGGTTGCTTCTTCCCCCTCTCCTACTTTTTGGAAGGTCTTGACTGGGAAACGTTGCAGAGAATTTGGAAACCTGCATGCTTTTCTGTGCTAATTGAGTTGGTCCAAATAAAGGCATTACTGATCTGTGGACTTTGGATTCCTCCCCACCCCCCGATGGATCACAATGACAACACTTGCTCCGTCTTACTATTACTGGGGTGGAAAATTTCCTGAGTAATTATATGAATTGCACTCAATTAATTTTCATGATACTTCCATCAACTCCATTTTGCATTTGCGTGGGCACGGCGCAGTTTTGCCATCTAGATTCCCAACTGGCTATCTTGTCTTGAAGAATTCATCCCTAAATTAACATGTGCAGATGTAAGGCAGATGGCTGACTTCTTCTCCTCTCTTTGCGGGGAGGTGTAAATAGCCATCCGTACCTTTTTCTTGGGAGTATCCTGTCCTGTTCACGTGACACAAATAATCCAGCCAACCACTTTCCTAGATGCTGTAGCTACCTGATCTTGGATGACCCTATTTATCACCCCATGGGCATTTTTTCAGGCCTCCCAGCAACCACAAAGTGGGTGGGAAGCTGGGACTTCCCTCTCTAACTATTTTTTTTAATTCTTTCCCCACCCAATGTGGGGAAAATCCACAGTGGGTCAATTGAGGTGATCGCCCCTGCAGACAGGGACATGTATCTTACCCATGTTTGCCTTGTTTCTGCACCTCCGAGGTGGCCACCGATGAGATGGAAGCCAAATGAACACAAAGATGGAGTGGCCTAGAGAAACCCCATTCTCCCAGGGCCGCTCTAGGACTTTATCTCAGCAATAGACATTGGAAGGGGCAGTGAACCCTCTGGTGCAGTGTTTCTCAACCTTGGCAACTTGAAGAGCTATGGCTGGCTGGGGAATTCTGTGAGTTGAAGTCCACACCTCATCAAGTCGCCAAGGTTGAAAAACACTGCTCTGGTGAGATGTTCACAAGGGACAGAGGTGTGGATGGAGTGGTTAGTTTAACCCTATGCCAAACTGGGCCTGTTTGGAATTGACCCCACCTCAGGATTGATTGACCCCTCTGTTAGTGTCCTCACAACACCATTACTACTATCGTACAACAGTAATGACACATTTTGGGCCAAAGAGGGATCAATCGTGTGGAACTCTTTGAGGGGTTAGGTCTTCGTTGCACCTTTCATTTGCAATGCACCTATTTCAAGAAGGGCATTTGTCCAAAAATGACTTCCAAGCAAGCTTCCCAAGATCCAGAGTTTAGCCAACATGCAGAGGCATCTGTAGGATCCGATGCCTTCATCCAGGGGTGTCTGCAGGGTGTGGTCCAAAAAGTCAAGAGAGTGCAATGCCCACAGCAAATGGGCAGAGCTTTGCCCCATCGTGGTCAATGTCTGCAGACACCCCTGCCTTGGTCAAAATGCCAAAAGCTGCAGGCTCTGCCCCTTTCATCCATCCAATGACCCTGTGACACACACACAAAGGGGCAGAGCTTAACATGCAATGCTGTGTTCGTGAGTTGACCTCTTGGGCACGGCTGTGTGTGGGTCGCACCCGCAGCGTGATGGGGTAGTGAGGTTGGGCACTTCCGAGCCAAGTTCGCTGGCACTCCAAAACCTGCTCGCCTATCCAGGTCATCAGTGAACATGGGTTATAAATGTACACGTTGAGGAAGCTTTTGTGTTCTTAATACACATTTAATTATGTTTTTAATTGAGTTTTTATGCCATTTTTCTCTCCGGGAGCTGCCTTGAGTGCCATCTGTCGGTGGAAAGGAGGAAAGTCAAGTTCAGAACTAAACTCCGACGAGAGGAGATCCAAGCATTGTTGGTGCCAGCGACCCAACGTTGTCCTGAAATACCTTCTCCTAACCAGCTTCTTAGAGGCTGGACCAGGCCAGGCTGGAGCAGCCCTCAGCCAGAGGCACATTTGATGGCAGGCCCCTTCCAGCTGTTGAGAACAAACAACGTTTTGCGGCAGCCAGTTGCCGATCAATGTCCATTTCTCCCCATCAATAAAGGAAGGATGATGTTCCAACAGCTAAAGTGTTGCTGAGTTTGCAGCAGGGTTTCACCTCTGGCACTTGTGAACCAGCATGTTGTTTCTGGTTATGAGAACGGGCAAATAGCCGAGTAGGCAGGGCAGTTTGATGGTTGTATCCTCGGACTGACAACCATAGAGGTTTCCTTCCACTTCTCACTACCCAAAGTTGTTTGGGTGGAGAAACAGATCTGTCTTCTCGTGAATCATCAGGTCTTCTGCTCTGCCTGGGAGAAATGAG